AAACTTCGCATCTTCTGTTTTTCTTTTCCCAGCGTCAGATCGAGAACCAGTACGAAAAGAAGTGGGCTCAGGCTACAACCCTGTCGTATGCCCAGTGTTGTTTTGAACTCTCGAGATGTATGGTTTCTTGTTCTAACAAGATTCCTCGTATTTCCGTATAAACTGCTTACGGCTCTTATAAGTCCATTATTTATACCTTGTTTCTCTAGAGCCTCAATTATATCCTTTTTCCTAATCCGGTCAAAGGCTTTGCAGAGATCTACAAAGCACACAGCGAGTTCCTTTCCCCTCTCGACAATCTTCTCTGTGATTTGTCGTATAGTGAAAACTAGATCCTGTGTGCTTCTTTGACTCCTGAATCCATACTGATCCTCTCCAATCTTGGATTCTACGGTGCTTCTTAGTGGTTTAAGTGTACCAATTGACCTTCTGGAGATATGAGCAATATGGGGTTTCCATGATAGGTTTTGATCAATGGTAATTCATAAGTTTTTTTACAGAGGAGGTGAAGGAGATTGGTTGGTCATTAATAATGAAGGAAGGAAGGGTGGAAATGGATCTAAGGAGAGAGTACCTAGTGGAACCTATAAGAATGGCCTGAGTTTTTGTTGCATTTAAGTTTAGTTTATTCAAGCTTGCCCAGGCACTGATCCTATGTAAGTCTTTCTAAATATTCTTAAACGCTTCTAATAACTCAGTGGGCGGAAAGGAAAGACAAATTTGGGAGTCATCAGCATATAGATGGTATGAACAATGGTGGATTGAACTAGGAAGGTCATTGATGTAAGATGTTTAGATATAAGATATTTATTACATTTTGAAATTATTGTGGATACATTTTTCCTGCATTTCTCTTTTCTTTAAATAGTTGTTTTTTGTCACTTTTTTCGAATTTTTTTTTCCACCATCCAAGGGAGGAAACGCCCTCTGGCAGAATTCGCTAGTGTTGGCCACAATAATTTTTTTTTTTCATTAAGAAATTCGTGTATGAGGATGAATTATCTCTATATTTCTGTTTTCTTTAAATAAGTGTTTTTTCGGAATTTTTTTCTACCATCCAAAGAAGGGCGCGCCCCCTGGCAGAATTCGCAAGTACTGGTCACGATAGTATTTTTTTATTTAATTACATTTTGAAATTCGTGTGAGAATAAATTTTTCCTACATTTCTCTTTTCTTTAAATATGTGTTCTTTTGGCACTTTTTTCCATCATCCAATGGAGGGCACACCCCCTAGTTGAATTCGCTAGTGCTGGTCACAATAATTTTTTTATTACATTCGGAAATTCTTGCTTTAGAATAAATTTTCTCTACATTTCTCTTTTCTTTAAATAGTTGTTTTTTGTCAATTTTTCGAATTTTTTTCCGAATCCTGTAAAATTGTTGGGCTTAGTAACGAGAGAATTCCTAAAAGGTTAATATTTGCTGTACCAAATGGTAAACGTCCGAGGGGTAGGCCGGAGCGAAGGTGGGCAGATTGCATTAAAGCCGACCTGAAGGGACTGGGTTTGGACGCCAACGGTGGAGAGAAGTGTGTAATAAGCGATTGGTGGTGTCGGCATCGAACCTTCGGGTTCACTAAGCCTTTTATTATTATTATATTAGGGAATTCATCGTCTATGAGGATGAATTTTCCTTTCTTTGAATAGCTGTTTTTTTGGACCTTTTTTATAATTCCAGCCTCCAGGAGGAAATAAAATAAATAAATGTTATTTTGCTCAATCAACCCTTATTTCTCTCCTGTCAAGAAATGAAACAGCAGTTAAGTCGAAATGAAAAAAATGTGTTTTCAGACTCAGGGGGCTCTGAAAGGTATATATCCCTCGAAAACGACATATCGGAAATTTGACCCGATTGCAATACTTTCCTTACCTAGTATTGGTAGGAAAGTAAGAAGGATTTTATAATAATTTAGTGAAAACTAAAATTATTGGTTAGCCAAATCCAGCCCCTTTTGTACATGTTTTTCGTTAATTTAATTAGACTAACGAGCTTACAATTTATTTTGCCACTCTGAAAAGCTTAGATCTGTAGCTTTAAATGGATATTGGTAGTTTTAGTTCAGAGAAGAACGTAAACAATAGTATTATGTCCACTTTTTCACCATTAGGGACCACAATGTGCTGGGCTGGAAGTGTTACTTGAAATTTAAAAAAATAATACAAAATAAATGACAAAAACTAATTTTAGCTGATTAATAAAGTAGTCTATGCACAAAACACTTCATATATTCTATATTTACATGACCAACTTTCATTATTTTTTTTTCAGTAAGTTGACAATTTCTATACCCTTCACTGTGACTTATTGTTTTTACATCACAATTTGCTGGTTTTTACAAAAGGTCATAGGGAAGAAAGGAAACATCGTAGATTTCATTTTGTGGGTTCAGAATATGTGCCAGGACAATCTTGATGTAATTATTATGTCAGTAACCATGCTGACTATATAGTACTTTAATAAGTATAATTAAATGTACAATAATCTACAATCTTCCACGATTTAAACACTTTTACACTAAATAACTGTTTAATACAAAAGGAAGCTTTAGGTAGCATTAGCTTAACCTAAACAAAGCATTTGATTTTTTGAATTTTTATGGGAGAGGGGATTGATGATCCTTAATTTTGGTGTATGGAATTCACTTGGTTCTCAAGGCCATATCATCAGAAGTGTGCATAAATTATTACCTAACATGGAATGTAGATAAAGGATTGCTGGTTAATAGGAACATTTCCATTGAATGGAAAATCATTGATAGGAAGCAGCCCTCCAATAGTGTTTGACAATTTGGGAAAATTGCCTATATAAAAATCATAAAAGCAGAAACTTTTAATGAGTAAACTTTTTACTTTTTGGTGTAACAAACTCAATAAAAAAGAAAAATCCATCACATCTATTCATAATTGGATTTCTAGGTATAAACCTAAATGGAAATTAACTGTCGTAATTAAAGAGATTGTCGTAATCTCAACACTTTACGTAAGTAATTTATTTAACAGAATGCTTCTAAGGAACAGAAATTTGTCTTGTTCTGAGAATCGTAGTAATTGATGGCAGTAAGGAAAATAAACAATAAAACTATTAAAATTGTCTGAGTTTTTATAGTTGTAGTGTAGTATGTGAAGTTCACAGAAGTTAAATGTCAATCAAAGTTTCTCTGAAAATTTTTTCATATATTCAGTACTTTATTTTTTATTGTTATTAATATTATCTGTTGATTGATGGGCATTCTGTGTTATTTAGCAATTCAACCTACTTGAGCAGCCTTGCTATAATATTGTAGTTTTCTATTTTTATTTGTGAGGTTTACATACAGTCAAAAGATGATTAGTGCTTCAGTAGGGTCGAATATGATCAGAATATGATTACATTAGCATCTCTCAAATTTTGATAGTTATTTTATTGTGATTTAATTAATCTTCTGCTGGTCAGAAGGGTATTTGTAATTTTGCCAATCTTAGTGAAATTGTATCCTTTCTCTGATATATTGTGAGTTATGAGTAGCTTTGTAAGTTTATACTTTCTCTGTCTGTAACAACTAGTACATGGCTGCTGTAATAGTTCAATTGCCTCATTTATGACTTACAGTTTTTTAAGTGTAGGTGAGATAGTCTGTTTAGAATTTTATAGCTAGTTCAGTACATCACTTTATTTCTCAAAAAGTCCAATAACTTATAATAATAACTTCATTGAGAAAATTTTCAGTACCCATAATCAAGTTTACTGGGTAATGATCATAGATTAACCATTTGGCTGTGGACGGGATACATGCCTTCCCGTTAAGAGTTGGGTCACTGGTGAGGACAGGATATATACCTTCCCAGTAGTGCGTTGGGTTACTGGTGCGGCCAGGATATATGCCTTCCAGCCTGGACATTCGCCACTTAAGACGGGTAAGGGCAAGTCGCGTCTTCACCATTGGACTGGTGGCTTGGTTGGTGCATTTATTAGTCCGCTGTAGCCGACTCGGTACAGTCGTTCCGGATTCTGACCGTTTGGAAGCTATCAGTTGCAGATTTATTTTAACCCAAGATATGTCCTTTCTCTGTTATATGTGCCATATTCATGATCTTATTTATATTTAAATCTATTTAAATGTATTAAACATAAAATAAATGTTAATAAGTTAATAATTTTTTATTTTAATTTTAGTTTTAACTGAATGCTGATTTTGGTACACATGAATCTCTGTCTACTAAACAAATAAATGAAAGTTTCCTACATTATATATGTATATATATATATATATGATTAAATTAAAATGTAATAATAAAAATTAATTAAAGTAAAAATATACAGAATTAAAATGATGCTTTATTTGTTTTATAATTTTTCCATCCACCTAAAAACAATATATATCTCATGTAATATAAAAGCGTTTGAAACTCAAAATAAATGTAAGTGGAATAATAAAATTTATAACTGCGCTATTTTTTAATATGGAACTTTTTTAGTCAAGAAAAAAAATTGTAAATACAAAGAAATATATAATTTAAATCCTCCCAAAAGTAATATAATTTAATTTTTATGGTGATGATGATCATCATCATCATTTTCAGTTATTTTGTTTTTAAAAAATGAGCAAATACGCAAGAAAGCAAAGTGTTGCAGGATGGCGCTCTAATTTTGCATTTCTATGTGCGGCAGGGAAGGCATATATCCTGTTTTTTTAAAATTGAATGAAAACGTTAAAATGCTTTTTGAAAACTAAGATCTTGCAGGATGACTCAATAGCATTTTTAATAAATTTAAGCAAAAAAAAATCTGTTTTTTTTTGGAAGTCTTTGTGGATTTCAGGATGCAATGTATGGTAGAAACTAGCAAATGAGCTCCAGCGGTCAAAGGGTTAAAGTTAAAGTTTTAGTAGCCAATAGTACAGTCCTAAGAACTTTTGTTACAAATACATTAGGATTTATGTTTCTAGAATTTGATAAGTAGGTTTGTTGGGACAAAGCATTTTAATGGCAGTAAAAAAAAACATATGACCTAAGGCCAGAAATCATGGGTAATAATGTATTTATTCTAATCTTATTGAAACTATTAATTTTATTATGTTGGTCAAAATAGTAAAGGTTCAAACTGAAGCCTTATCTACTAAAATTGACAGTTTAATATAACAAAGAAATTAAAAAAAAAAAAATACTAAAACATTTTCAAACAAAAATTAATATAAACTAGATATTACAATATTTGAATTTAAAATAATTCAAATAAAAATCAAACCATAAATCTTGTAGGGAACAATAAGAAGATCTAACACTATAAAATAGTCATGATTATTATTATTATATTAGTCACAGCCATCTTTCCTTAAAATAATAGTTCATAAATCAATACTATTACTTATTAATTAATCATCTTCTTGAAGAAGGTCATTTAAATGAGCAGCATCCACACAGGGTAGTTTATCAAGCCTCCTATGCTTAATGATATCATTCAATTTTAAATGTGCTTTATACAATGCCTCAGCAGAATTAACATTATTCTGGTTCCAACAAAAAAATATTTCATTCAGGTCATCATCTAGCTTTAGTGCCTTTACTGTACTGAAGATACTCTTCAATCTCTTAGATAATTCGTCCCGTTTATCCTTGTTTCGACAAACAAGATTTAAAATAAAAATTCCTAAAAAATATAAATAAATATAATTAATACATATATTAATATAATAACGTATATATTGTAATGAACACCTTTATTGGAAGTGAGTAAAAAGGTTTTAATAAATTAATGTTGAACAATTAAAAGGCAAGCTAATCTAGTTTCACAAGTTCAGAGAAAAGAAAATGGCTGCTCTGTAGTTTCCCAAGAAGGAAAATCGCAAAGAGGAGAGGGACAAAGGTTTTTGTTTTGGTAAACAGTTGTTGTGTGACTGCAGTGAAGAGAGGTTAAGAGAAGATGTCCTATCCTGGCTCCAGTGGGTAAAATCCAGTAATAATTTTACCATCTTAGAAGATTTGTTTGGCAGGAGAATAGTTGTTTGGAATTGTAAGAGAGAGGATTTCTCAGAGAGCTTGAGTTGAGTGGAAGAATAGTGTTACCATTTTAGGACATGTGTTTGGCAGAACATAAGAAAATGTGTGAAGACAAATGAGTTCCGTGCCACAAAGGAAGAAAGAAAGTATGTAGAAAAAAGGTTAGCTTGTCAATTAATACTTGACTTTATTTTTAAACCAGTGTTAAATTTTAATATAAATAGTGTAAATAATAGTAGTTTGTCTGAGTTGATTTGATTGTCAGTAACCCACAACTGAGATAAATAAATATATTAATTCTCTTATAATTTTGTTTATTATTATAACAACCTCTTATTTATTTCGGAAATATCCCAAAAGTATAAAGTGATCTTCCAAGGTTATATTATTATTATTTGTAAAATATAAGAGGGATGTTACAATATATATGTATACAGATACACACCCACACACTTTTCATATTAATAATACTGTTAAAAAACTAAATTACTCCTCATTTAATATTAATAACATTTAAAATTATATGAGGAGTAATTGCTGTCCCTGCAATTAAATTAACACTAAGTCCTTAACCGAAGAGAAAAAAATTACTTTTTGATAAAACAATACTTTATCCTCCACCATGGATTCAATGCGATCTTAGGTATTTGGACATGACTATATTTGGTAAATGAATAGTATCAGTGAAATATGCTCTTGTGTAAACTTATCTAATATTAAAATTTTATGTTATTATAAGGAAAATTTACTGATATAATGGTTGACCCACCCTGGGATATTCAGATGGAGTTACCTTATGGAACTATGTTAGATGATGAAATGAGACAGCTTGGTGTACCAGCATTGCAAGATGATTATTCCAGTTAGAGTAAGAAAATATAGATTTATTCCACGAGCAGCGAAATCAATCTTAATAAATGGCGGGCCATACTAACGATAAATAGCATAACGTGTATAATTAAAAAAAAAAACACTGAAGTTCCCATAAAACAAAGTGGGCGTAATGTCCCAAAATGGCGTCTAAACATGGCGGATAGAGGAATTTGTCTTGGATTAGTATTTATGTCACTGAGAGTCAGAGCATTTGGCTTAATTTCCTCATAATTGGTTTCTTATTTAAGTTAGATAGTCAGAGAATAATAAAACATGAAAAAATAATTGGCTTAGGCAATAAAAAACAGCAGTAAAGTCACTTTTTTCAAGACTTTCAAACAAAAGTTGGAAATCAAGTGTTGTTTGTAATTAAACTGCCAACAATTCAGTTTTTTTGCATTTTATTGTAGCACTGAGAGGTACACTTCATGACACAGGAACACATCGTACCTGATGCTCCTCGGCCTACCGCGTAAGCGTACACTCCACTGCCAACAATTCAGAAAAAAGTTTTAAAATAAAGCATCTAGAGAAAATATTTCTCTTACCAAATCACAGATTAATTTTAAAATATTTGAATTGGTTCCTTAGAAAATGTACTTAATCTGCGGACCAACTCACCACTATCAATGTTTGCGGTAACTCCATAACATGATATTACCGTCTATTAACTTTTCAAGACGATTGGACATATACGAAAAAAGTTTTTAATAATTTGAACCAATCGATGTTACCCGGCCGGGGGTCCCAGCCAAACTTAATTCCATAAAAGTCAGTCCGGGAATCAATAAGACTAGCAGTATCAATGTCTTGGGAGGAGTACCACAAGATGGACAACTTTTTCTGGCAATCTTCAATGTGAGTATAGATTTCCTTTATACAGAAATGTGTGATCCGAAAGTTGCGGATAAATATGGCTACAAATTCTTCCGTAACCATGATGTTGTTCTGCTTTCAGGCTTTGCTGATGGTCAAGCGATTACAGCTTGCAGTGTTGAAGATGGGGAAAGGGTAATAAATTGCATTCCATAGATGCTTCATGAGTTGGCACTGTCCACAAACCCCCCAAAAAGCTCTGGAATCATCTTAGAGAAGGAAAATTTAGTAAAATTAAGGTTTCGATTAAATACTGGAGAGGTAATACTCCCTCCGCGATACAGGAGCTTGGGTCTTTTGCGATGTCGATGGGAGGCTCCTCTTCAGCACTGATCCATTTCTCAAAAATCGGCAAATGTGACGGATTCTCTGTTTTAGAAAATTTTAAATGTCGAGGACGAAATAAGAAATTATGCGGATAATATGGAACCATCGCAGACAACTAGAAAACTTGTCTTTCCTAGAAAACAGGGATTGTCTTCCCTGAGGAAAAAGTCCTTTGAAGACTGCACCAAGTGCAAGTGGCAGGGAATTGGTGTGTCCCATTTTAAAGCAAACCATGGGCCAATAAATTTAGTTTGAGAGAAATGTGATTACCGGCTCAGAATGGACAAACGCCATGAAATTAAATGTTAATTACACTCTTCTCTATGGAGTGCTTCCATTGGAACATTTTTTTTTTTTCAATCTCAACAAATTAAAATGCTGGGAAAAAAGAGTTGAAATTTATTTATTTTTCCTGCTTACAGTATATTGAAAAAAATAATACAATCTGAACTATAGAATACACGTAAATTATATGTATAATTAGAGGCCGGAATAGCAGAGTGGTTAGCGTGCTATACTAGTAAAGTAGAGATCATAGGATTGAACCTGGCTCTACTTCCCACTACGGCTGGTCCCCGCAGAAAGTTAGATCATAATACTCCCTTAATTAGGTGAGGAATACAGGTTGTAAGACTTGTATGAACAGGCTTTCACAATTATATACATAGTTATATAATTTGTAAAATGGGTGTTGGTCCACCGTTGTCAGCTGGACAAGGACTACTCCCTTACAATAAAAATTTGTATTATACAATCTCTGATATACAATATAAAGATTTGATAAAGGAGGCTCTATGTAACCTACCTTTTTAATGAGTGTTTAATAATTAACAGATGATGTATTTTCTATGCAAGTGAGTATAAAAAACTCCAATATTAGTTCTAAACATTATACAATGTTTTACTGTTTCTACAAAAGCTGGTTTGGTTAAAAAATTGTATTTATTTTATTCAATTTATTAGTCAGCTTCAAAATAAAACATCTTAAAAATTAATAAATTTTGTTTTGATTTTTTTACATATGGATGATTGATAAATTCCTCGTAATGAAAAATAGAATAATAACTAATAAAATATCCAAACCACATTTTTAACGAAATTATTTATATACTTTTTGTACTTCTACAAGTTAAACTACTAGAATAAAATATTTACCTCCAGGAGAAAGAATATTTTTCACTTCTTGTAAAACTTCAACAACCACAAATTCAGGAGGTGGTGAACTAAGCCCAGTAATAACATCTTTATTGTCAACATCGAATATTACACTATCGTATTTCATACCTGTAAAAAAAGATAATCTTGATCAAGAAGTAACAACATTTATAACTTAAAAAGTTGAATTTTGCATTGCTATGTGCGGTCGAAAAAGGCATATCCCTTTTATTAAAAGTTGAATAAAAAGATTAAAATGTATTTTAAACACATTTATGCAAAAAAAAAAAAAAAATCAGTTTTTCTGAATGTCTTTTTGGACTTCGGGATGCGCCATCAGATAGAAATACTCGAATGAGCTCATGCAGCCAAAGGATTAGTAAAAGTTCCAAAATAGTTATCAGAAGTTTCAAAATATCTTTATTGACTCAGATCATTATCCAGTAGTTATGAAATTTATACAAATAATAAGGATAGTCCATTTTTCTCATTATGTATCCAAGAAAAAATAGAAAACAGATAAGCTTAAGAATGAAGAAACAAGATTATTGTTTATAAGCTAGTAAATAAGGTGAAAAAAAGGAGAAACCTTGGAATAAAAGATATAAAGCTGAAATTTGGCATGGATCTTAATTTAGAAATTTTCATTGCTGGCAAAAAATCTCTTATAATCTAGTGTAGGCATCTCAAGTTATTTTATTAAAGTTCAGAGGTAAAAAATAGGGACAACAATTTTTTTTGTATATATCTCATTTTCTATGCTTTTTATGTTGTTAGAGATTATTAAAAATGAAATTTCACTGAAAAGAAGAGACCTAGACAGCATTTGTAAATGCTGAGAGAGATAAAAAATTCCTTTCACAGGCGGAGGACCAGGTAAATCTTGGCTGGAAGGATTTCATGTGACTATCTGGATCCCTTTTAACTGGACAACTGGAGCTGTCACCACTGCCAGTGCCAATATATTAAATACAATTATAAATTTACAATATCAAGGAATAGATTTTCAGAGAATGTTTTTGTTTAATAGAATACAAAAATTGTCTAAAGACTGCATAATGAAGAACAATTCTTTGGTATTTACCTGAAATATTGTAACGTTCCCTTTGTCAACATAAATCAAACAACAAGTTTCCTTTTTCAATATATTATTTATTTTGACATATATAACATAAATTCTCAGGTTGGGTTCTGACAACTGAACACTCATTCAACATTAAATAACTATAACTTACTAATTACTAAATACACTAATTATACATATAAAATTTATTATTGTTTTCAAAAACCTTTATTGTCCCAGTCTAAACTTTGTGGCTCTTTCTATTTTCTCAGCTTGCTGGCTAGTACCTTCTCTCTTGACAGCTTGTCACATTTTCTCTTGGCGGCTCATAACCTTCTCTCTTGGCCGCTATCACCTTCTCTCCTGGCGGTCCGTCACGTTCTGAGTTACATGAGGCTTGCTTCCCCCACTTCCTCCCCGTAGTTCGGGCCACTATTTAAATGCCATGTAATGTTGACATTACAATATATAGTTTGATCTTAATCTTTTTTTCTGGTGGTGATTCATTACTCATCTATACACGATAACTAAAGGGTCGTGGAACAATTGTTATAAAATGTTTCCGACCGGATATTAACAAATTAAAAGTCTTTATGCTATATTTATTGAATTTTTTGGGAATTGATTTTTAGAAAATATTTGCAAACACCAGGTTTTCCCCCTTAATTAATTATTTAATTAAGAGTAACCACTTTATAGAGGTCCAGGAGAGTCTCCTGACCCCTGGGCCGATCCTCGGCTAATTAAAAATTACTAGTCATCAGCCGGATTCGAACCTGGAACCTTGAGCTCCAGGAGCCAGTGCTCACCTACTCAGCTACCCTACTCCCTACATTTATTTTCACATATATGTTATCAAAATCTTTACTGATTCAACAAAATCAGAATCACAGCTTTTGTTAAAGTGGAGTATCTGTCGTCAAGTTGTAGGATGATATAAAAAATAGTAAATAATCCATAATTTTATGAAAAACAGAACTTAATGTAGTTTTGTTGGACCTTCTTAAAAAAAACAAAAAACTTTTTAATCGTGCCCTCTTCTACTGTGGAGCAGTGTGAGGAATTCCTGCTTATAGAGTCTGATCCAATAGCCCGGATCCTGTAGCAGCTGGTTGTGTCTGCTCCAGTCCATTCCTTACCTGCTGAATGCCTCCCTCCTGGGCTGCTGCTTCCCAAGTTTTTCTAGTCGTTCCTCTTGATCTTCTTCTTTCAACTCTTGTTTCATAAAGTTTTGGCAATTCTTTCCTTCTGCATTCTTTTAACTTGACCAAACCACCATAGCTGGTTCTCTTCAATTATATGTACGACCGGTTTAATTTCCATATTACTTCTAATTGTTGTATTTCTGATCCTATCTCTTCTTGTTTTTTCCTTCTATCATCTTCAGGTAGCTCATATTCATTGCTTGTATTTGGCTCCTATTTCTGGATGCTAGAGTCCAAGACACACTGGCGTATATCAATATGGGTATGAATATTGTTTTCTATACTACTTTTTAAATACAGAAAACTTTAATTTCTTGCTTTACAGTAGAAAATAGGAACATGGTTAATATGAACTTTTTTGTAGCTCCTAAGGTCTACTATCACCTCTTTAAACATTTCCCTTTACTTACGGAACGTCCATTATATATAAACGCTAAATAGATTTTATTGCCAACCTTTTAATTAATTAATTAATCAAATATTTATTTTTTACAAAACTAGCCAGGCAGAATTGTTTTAAAAATGTAAAAGCTCGAGGGCCGATATGAAATTTTTTTTAATTCTAAGGTTCTTAAGTCATAGGGGTAATATTTGGTGACCTGAAAAAATATTTGAGTAACTCTTGTTTCAAAAACTGATACTGAATTTCAATGAAAAAGACTCAGGATATTAAAGAATACTAACTGGATTATGCGGACAGTATATAATAGGAGAGTAAATGATGATAAGCTCTGATATTTCAAGAGCAATTTTTTAGTCAATCTCTGAGAAGATATGAATGAATAAGCACTTAGATCGAAATATTTTCAAAAGATTTAAGAAATTAGATCATACCTCTATTGGCAGCTTCTTTAATAAATACAAGTCCATCTTTGATATAAACAATAAGCTGTTTATCTTCCACTAAACCAAAATAATTTACAGCAACTTTTAAAATTTCACGATCAAGTTCTACTGCAGTTATGACAGACTTGGGAAACACTTTTCTGAGAAAAGATGGTAATGCACCACCACCAAGCCCGACAACTAATAACTGCCCAGGTGAATTACCTGAAAATATGTTAAAAACAAATTTTAATGCACAATAAGACAATACATTGCTTAAATTAAAAGCAGTAAAATATTAAGGGTTCAAAGACTTTTCAATGGAATAATTTAAAATTTATAGCTTGATTAAATTTTACTATTAAATTTAATTCTTAACATTTCAAAATTTTTGAATGACCAGAACTTTTAAAATAATTATTCAAATGTTTCTCTTACTAAGGGGATTAGATTAATTAATTCACAAAGTACATGATATAAAAGAAAAATATGTCTCAAATATGTTTTTATATGGATGATATAATTGACATGCCTGCCTAACTATACTCTATAAAACTCAAACTATACAATGTAAATTTAAAATGTTAAAATAATAAAATAAAATAGTTTTATATAAAATAAAACAATACATCACAAGAAAGTCCTATATTTCAAGGTCTACAATTTTATGTTTGAGAATTAAATCTTGGGAAGAAGCTGAACTCCCCCATTACAAACTAAGGTAATCAACAATACACACCTTAAGAGCATTTTTTCTAGTTAGTCACCCCAGAGAGGGTGCAAGTATGCAAGCACTGAGATGACTGCCCCACCAGTTTCATTTAATACTGATTAATGAACAATAAAACTCTGATCTTGAAAATATAAAAAAATAATTTATCATGATAGAGAACATTGTCAACTACGAAAACAGGTCTGGGTAATAAATTTGTCATTAACTATTTTTTTTTGTAATTTTTTGTTTTTATATCATTGTGAGTCATCACTTTTTAAAAGGAACTGAAAAGTTAATAAGATTATTGGAATGGAACTGTTTTCAGAAGAAGCATTAGTGATTATTATCATTGTTCTCTAGTTAATTTTTTTTCTTTAAAAGTCTAATAGAATTTTATGAGTCTAGGTGAGATACCCATTGAAAAGGATAATTACATTTTTTTTATTAAAGAAGATAGTCTAATGAGATTGATGGTGATCATCTATGAATAAAATTATAACTTAGATGTATGATAATGATTCTATATCTCCATAATTTGTAGTCAGACATGTTATACACTAAACAGCAGTTTTGTTGGTTTATCTTTAGTTAATATAAAAGTTTAATGATTAATCAACTGCATCATGAAACATCAATGGAAAATAAAGAAGAGAAAAATCATCTTACTATCAAGTATAGAACATGTTCCAATTGTCATGTATCCATGATGGGCGCATGAAAGAGATGTAGTATCAACGACAACTCTCTCTCCACCCCTCCGAGTTTTCACTGAAATGAATAAACGATAAAAAAGTGTTATATTATATGAATTGCTGTTTATCAAATTTTGTGGGGAGTTGTAAGTTTATAGAAAATCTAGGCATTAAAAGTACCATATAATTTCATCTTCATCTATTTACCTTTTCGAACTTTTGCTTCAGACTGAATAGCATTTTTACTTGATAAAAAATACAGCCTCCTTAAAAGAATTCCTGGTTCAGATTCTGTTTCTTCAACAACAAACTTTCCAGAAATGGGACTGTCTCCAAAATAAACTTCATTCCTAACACCAACATCACCACCAACAGACAGGTAAGATATTTTATCCTACAAATATTGAAATTAATACATGCTTAAAAAAATTTCAATACCTATAGAATAATTTGTATAATATAAAACAAAAACTTTAAATAAAAACAGTAAGATAGAACAAAATTTACTTTAAAGTCACCGGGAGAAAAGTCTTGAATTATAGGATTAAGCTCACTTTTCACTTGTTCTAAACTAGTAAATTTATGACCTCTGTTAAGTATAATTACAGCTAGTCGGTCTACATGAGATTCTGAAAGTAAAAATTGGCGACCTTCAGGAGTACCAAATGCCCATTCAGATTCTCTGAAATTTAAATTTTCATTATAAATATAAATGTGAACAAAATATTTTAATTTAATTTTAACAAAATAATTTAAATAACTTAATGATCATTAATAAAAGTGTTATAAATAGAGACCGGATTTTTGTGCAGTAAAACACTCAAAATGTGCAGTAAAAATCCAAAATACGTAAAATTGTGTAATTAACACCTAATAGTGTATAAAATCATCAATATTGTTTAATTTATAACATTAATACATCAAAATCTTATCCGATCTTGAGTTATCCGAGAGATAAAGAAAAGAAAGAAATTGAAATGTAACATTGAAAATGAAATTCCAGATTATAGTCAACTATTTTTTTTTTTTTTTTTATTATTTCAATGGAATTTACAACTGTATTACATAGAGAATACAATAAGTAAATGAGAAATTTGTAACATGGCATGTACAACATGAAGAAAAACTACCCATTGGTAGAACTCAAATTAAAGTTCTATATTAGAAGATCCCGAGGCCATCTTCTTTTCAGACGCCTCGGAGGGTTATCAGGGATCGAGGAGGAAGCAAGGTTTGAAACGAGAGGATTCGGATGATTCTGCAGTTTGTTATGGAAGGAAAGGTATCTGGATTGGGCCAGATCGGAAACATATGGAACATTAAGGTCTTTATGGATGATTTTATTTGTGACAAAGTAAGGAGCGTTGAGGATTTTACGAAGGATTTTGGATTGTAAGGATTGGATACGAGAGGAATTCGATGGTTTAGTGGAGCCCCAAAGCTCAATTCCGTAAGTCCAAATAGGTCTTATTATTGTCATATATACGAGTCGTTTATAATTGATTGAAAGCTTAGATCGTTTGTCTAGTAAGTGCTGCAGTAGTCGAAAACGTCGGGCGGTTTCTAGTCGTTTCAGTCTGGTATGGGGGTTCCAAGTGAGTCGTTTGTCAAGGTGGAGTCCTAAGTAGCGGATTTGCTCAACAGGAATAAGTGGAGTATTATTGAAGGATACTGTAGGACAAGAGGTCATAGGTTTACAACGGAGGGTAAAAGTGATTTGATGGGATTTGTTGGAATTTATTTTTATTCTCCAATTTTGACACCATTCTTCAAGGCTTGTGATATGTGATTGAAGAGTTTGGGATGCAATTAAAGGATCGTTATTAACTGATAGGATACACGTGTCATCGGCATAGGTGGTGATGACAGTGTTGGATTGGGTTGGGATGTCAGCTGTATAAACTGTGTAAAGGATAGGACCTAGGATACTACCTTGAGGAACACCGGCAGACTGAGTAAAAAGAGATGAATAAGCATTGTTATGATTGACTTTGAAGTATCTGTCAGTAAGGTAGGAACGTATAATGAGGAAGTATGTAGGTGGTAGGAATTCACGGAGTTTGTACATCAGTCCCGGATGCCAGACTCTATCAAACGCCTGTTCAACGTCGAGAAAGACTCCCGTGCAGTACATTCCGCGCTCCAATGCAGAGGAGACCACATCTACCACACGATGGCATTGCTGAATAGTGGAGTGGGATGTGCGGAATCCAAATTGGTGATCTGGGATAATGTGTTTAGAGTCTAGGATGGGATACAGGCGTTTTAAAATGAGTTTTTCCAGGATTTTGCCCATAATGGGTAAAAGGGAGATAGGACGGTAAGAGGATGGGTGTTCTGGCGGCTTTGTGGGTTTAGGTATCATTTTGACAATGGATAGTTTCCAAGAGTCAGGAAAATATGTGGTGCGGAGTACAGCATTAAATATATAGGTTAGGAACAATATGGCTTTTTTAGGAAGACATTTTAGGATCTGGGAGGTAATTAGGTCATGGCCAGGAGCTTTGCGAGAAGGTAATCTATTAATGATATTGGATATTTCTGAAGGATGAAATGCTTTAGGTGGAGGAGTCAATTGGAGTGGGGTATCCAATTCTGCTTCAATAAACTCAAGGTGGGTTGGATTAAGGATGTCTGGGTGTGGATTAAATGTTTTTGAGAGGTGTTGAGCAAATATTTGAGATTTTTCATCATCAGATCTGGACCAGGTTTGGGTTTCAGTAATAAGTGGGTGGTTAAAATCTTTGAATTTAAGGAGTTTTTTAGTGGTCAACCATAGTGATTTGTCACAAGTAGTAAGTTTTTCTGTCATGTTATGTAAATTTTGAACTTTGTATTTTCTAATTTAAGCTTTTAGTTGGTTAGTTAATTTGTTGTAATATGTCTTATCTGATGGATATCTAGTCCTGTGCCACTTCGATCTTGCTCTGCGTTTTTCCCTTAATAAGATACGAATATGCTGCGGCAAATTTGTCTGTTGGGAGTTGTCAGTTTTATTGGTAGATGTATTATTCTTTATTTTGTCACTTATAGATGTAGTAAGTTCTTTTATGGCTGTGTCAATATCACGTTTCGTCTTAAGTGGAATATTTAGGTCCAATTTATTTTCCAGGTCTTTACGAAAATTGTCCCAGTTTACTCGTCCTGTAATCAGTGTAGGAGAGGACGAGGGCTTAGGAGCGAAAGTTGTGTGTAATGAAAGCAGAACTGGAGAATGATCTGAGGAGAGGTCATCCAGGGATTTTATTGTGACATGGGAAGAGGAAATTTGGGAGGTGACAAATATGTCGAGGATATCAGGGCGTTTTTTGAGGGATGTTGGCCAATAGGTAGGATTCATAGGAGAGAGGACAGAGTAACTATTGGAAGTTGAGACAGAAGATAGTATGTTACCACGGGAGTTGGATGATCGACAACCCCATCGTTGGTGTTTAGCATTGTAGTCTCCTCTAGTCAACTATTACAATAACGATTATTATCAAATAACATAGAACGTTAAAGGTTTGAAGATTATATGTACCTATATATTATATAGACCAGACAAATTTTAATTATTTAACTTTTATTAAAAATAATAATGAAAACTTTATTTTTTAATAGAGTTTAAATTTCCAATCTTATAAATTACAAAACGTTTTTGTTAAAATTTAAGGAATTTAAAAAAAAAAATAAAATAGACTATAATGTTTGAGATTTTCAAGTATTCAAATATTAGTGTTGAAGCAGTTTTTCTATATCACAAAAAATATTTTTTTGGGGATTAAGTTCTTTCTAAAAAAACAAAACAAAAAAAGAAACATTTAATTCTTTGATATGAATATTTTTTTCTTACTTCTTCCCCAATGAGAGTCTATTAGTGATTTCCTATCAGCTGATTAATTTTTCATAAGGTGTATGAACTCATCAAATTCTTTGTCCTAAGATTTCAAATCAGGGTATGTTTTATCCAAATTTTAATTTTTGATGGGAGACTAAATTTTACTTTCAGCATTACCAATTTTTGTTTTTTACAATAGACCAAATGTTTAACCTTAAACAACTGGGTGAAAAGATGTATGAATTCGACCATCCTCTGGGGTAACTTTTAGTGGACTTTGATTCGCTAATTATAGAGAAATTTAGCAGTGAAATGAAGGATGGGTATCCCTAGAAAATCTATTGGACTGCCTGTACTATGAAAAAAAAAAATATGCCAAGGATGACCAAAAAGAATGGTGCAAGTATGCGTCTCAGGCCATTTCTCTCGGAGCAGTGGAACTCTGCTCTTTAGTGAAACTGACTTGTTGAGAGACATGTTTTGTATGCTCAAGTCGCTATTATAAGAGATTTGTATAGACTTATTTTTGTTATGTGACTCAGTAGTCTGCTTTTAATAATTTTGGATAAGATAAATTTGGATTTGTTGTTTTGGCTGCTGCTAATCTGCATCTTATTTTAACTTCCTCTTCCATCTTTTCTTCTGTTATTGTAGATCCCAGGTATTGGAACAACCACAACAGCATATTCTCCCACTCCTACTTGATGTGGGGCCAATGCACATCATGTTTTCTAATACACATAATTTTTTGTTTTATTTTTATTCATCCTAAGTCCAATATTTTTCGTTTCCCACTTTGTCTTGCAGAGAAGGCTTTCTCCACAGTAGCTTGTGATCATCCAATAATTGCGATGTAATCTCCATATGCTAGGATTTGTACCATTTTGTGACCCATTTGGTTGGCTTTTGCATTATTTATGCTGTCCTGCAATACATATTTTTCAACAAGTAATGTCCGAATGGAGCTCGAAAATGCCATCCATCTTCAGCCCCACTTCAATGCTAGTTGAGAAACTCAATTTGAATTTCAACCCATCCAGGCTGGTTCGAACTGTGACTGCTTGACTCAAGAATGATAATGGCAATCACTTTTGGATGAAAGGGCTTTTACAAGGCACTACTATTCTGGCCAGTTTGACCAAGAAAGAAAGAAGATATTTTTAGAAAGAATTTACTCCTCTATCTTTTCTCCATATTCCTGGCTCAGAATAGTCTGAGGGTTTTGATTTTGAATCTGCACATTACAGTGCGGGAAATTTTATAAGCTTGTTACATCTTGCAACCTGCCACCCCTAACCAACTATGTAGATTTATAACATTTATTCAATACTAATTCATATGATATAAAGGTAATAAAAACAAAATGCTTAATATTAATTTTAAATATCATTACAATACACATTAAACCTACCTTCCTTGGGGTACAATAAATGCTGCATACGTCATACCAGATGCTTTAGGACAAGGTTTTTCAACAATTCTAATAGTATAACGTGGTGTATCATCTTCAGGCTTTCCTATTTCTAATTCTATTTCTCGACCACCAGAATTAGATCTCTGAAGCCCACTACAAACTATTGCAACCATTTGAGATTCCAAAACAGACTCTTTAATTTTATCTATTCCACTAACTCTTGTTGCTGGAGCATCAGTAGCAAGACAAAGCTCAAACACCTGTAATAAATCGACATTATTACACAACTAAACAATAACAAGTTTAATTTCAAAATACCACCGATATTAATGAACATAAAAAATTCAGAAATCTGAGGGAGGAATCATAGTTAAAATCAATACCTACTATTGTTGAATAACTGTCATTCTTTAATAGCTTGCAGATATGACTCTAATATAAATTAAAAGGGTTCTCTAAATACTCTTCTCTTTGCAAAACTCTAAAAAAAAAAAAAAGAGTAGAAAGAGAATCACGTATTTAGGTATGAGGTCTTCCAAAAAGCCAGTACACTTATGATCCAACAAATTTAACATTTCTATAAGTTATGTTGTTTTTTTTCAGTGAAATTCATAATTTTGCCAATCAAACTAATAATTTTTTCAAACAAATTCATAATTGAAGTATCGTAATCAAGAACTCATGTTGAATTTGAAGGAGATTAGATCGAGGGAATTATAGAATTTCCTCTGTTATTAATATCCTACTTATTTTTCTAATGTAATGTATTGCGATTGTGAACATTTTTGAACCTCAGTTTTCAACAGAAATACATGTTTTGAGGTCTCCTGAGTCCAAATAACCAAGTTTCACAAAATGGGGGGTGTGTGTGTGTGTTTTAACAGTCTAGCTCAAAAACGAGAAGTCGTATGAAAGTGAAATTGCATATATAAGGTTTTTATATGCTAGGGATGTCACAGCAATTTTTTTGTCAAAATCGGCTAACCAGAAGTGTCACTTTATATCATCGATGAAACACATTTTTAGGATTTTCTCAAAAACGGCTATAACGATTTTGATTAAATTCATTATATCAGTGTAAAATTAAGCAATTTTAAATAAATTATAGGTTTTATTCTGATTGATGTTCTCTAACAGGGTTCAAAAGGCTAATTTTCAATATTAGCTTCCTCAAAAGTACCTTTAATTTTTTTTATTTGAAACAACGACCGTTTTACATTGATCTCTAATATAAAAGAGTTAAATATAAAATATGAAAGAATTTGATAATTAATTAAAGGAAAAATAAGAGATTGTAATGGAGAATAGTTGTAATTGAGGAACCAAATTAATACATTTCTTGTAAAGTGTAAACTGCGTTGTCTTCAATTACCTCCTCAATTGCTGCAAAAGTTTCGGATGTCAAGCTTATACTGCAGGGTATTATCTATTTTTTATCAACAACTTGACACTTCTTTGATTTGGTAGGCAGCCATATGTAAAATGTTCAAAACTGTTTACTGATCGATGTTGTGACAAAATATTTTGATCTATCTCGATTTTGTGAAGAATTTTATCGTATTTTTCAATGATTGGTTAGTTGGTCAGGGTGAGATGCATCTTTAACATAAAAATTTCCAGAACCAAAATGAGCAAACCAATCTAACACTCGCATAACCATATATAACATAAAATTGTTGATGAGCCTGTGCTGTATTTTTCCCTTTTCGGAAATAAAACAGCAAAATAACAGAAATCAGCTTGTGGAATCTCCATTTTAAAGCGCAATAACTGTTGACTGAGTAAATGAATGATGATATTTTTAAATGTAGAATGTTCTATGGACTGTGATCTTTCAAATATAGTTTAGAATGGATTCATTGAATACAGATTACAAGAGATAAGAGATTTTAAAATTAACTATTGCGATAAAACAAAATTACTTTTTTCTCAACCCAATATTTACTTTGACTAATCCTTGAATTCCTTGTGACTTCAGTTGGCTTTATGAAGTAATTTAAATTTTTAAAAGCATATGCAATGTCAGAAAAAAAAATCCAAGATTGACCAAAAAAGCTTTTAAAAAACATTTATCAATAAAATTGTCCTTACAGGCTTCTGTAGTGTGGCTGTTGATATACAAAAATTTTCACAACTCATGCCTTGTTTTTTTTTCTGTTTACACCACTTCCTCGCCTTTAAGGCTATACGGGGATTTCCCGGGACAGGGGGTCTGGGTGGGGATTTAAAAGACTCCCCCGGCACTGGGACGTGAACATGTGAATATTTTAAATACATTGTCTCATAGATCAGGTTGCTGGGCTATGCACACAAGTTAGCCCATTTGGCCACCCCGCCCGGGCGGGGTAATATAATGCCTTGGGTGGTTATTGGGGATCAAGGAACTCAGCTCCACAGATTTACTTTTTTAAAGGAATGGGATTTTAAACACAATTTTATCAGCCCGAAGCAACCTCAATCTAATGCTCTGCAAAGCACTATGTATAAAAAGTTATAAAATTTATGAAAAAAACAGCATAAGCTGAAATTGACTTTTTTATATAACAGCTCTAGATGAGTAGGCATCTCAAAGGAGTCTTACCAGATACCCCAGTCCAGCTTTGGAGCTTAAAGTAGTAGACCAAGAAGAGATAATAAAAAGGTGTTGGAGGATCGACATAAAATGAGCAATAAATACTTTGACAGATGATCAATGCTACTCAGGGCATTAAGTAGGGCAGAGAGTACACTTCCAGACAATGTCAGGATTAGAATGGGTTCCAGCAAGAGTTGAGAAAAAGCTGGGTAGAAGGAAGCAGTGGTTTGATAGAACTAAATAAAAAATATATTAAGCAAATTTCAGAAATTTCTTTAAGAGATAAGAAGGAGATGAAAGAAAATGAGAAAGAGCAGAGGGATAAAGAGGAGGAAATACAGCATTGTGGATGCGGTTCCAGAAGATGAAGTGACCAGAATAAAAAGAACTATTAGGAGACCTCGGTGGAGACAGACTTGAAGAAGGGAGATATTAGATATATTATATTAGGTTATGAAATATGTGTTATTAATTATTATTGGAACTTTGAATAAGTGCAATAATAAAGGTACTTTATATATATATATATATCCACATTATAATAACTAAACACTGCAATATTGCAATAATGATTACTTCTTTAAAAAAATAAAACACTTACAGGTTGTGAAGTGGGTATCTTTTTAAATTTGGTAAAAATGACCATAAAAACTGGAAGTGATTTGGAACCCTGCTCCTTAAATGACTTAGCTTCTACATCATAGCATCTGCATACACGTATCATCCAAGCTTTCTCTTCAAAATGTTGTAATAAAAAACTCATTATATGTTGTTGTAGCAATGAAACAACTATATACCGGCCTCCAATCCGCATTACCCTGTCAATTTCCTTCAAAATATGGATTAGAAGTTTTTAAAAATAATAATAGTATTCAAATAAACAGGAAAGGAATGTAGTTTACTTCAACATATTTTTTAATATTGTTCAATGTGTCTGGTTCTTCATCAGGCATTAAAGCATCAAAAGTTCCTTTATCAAAAACTACAGAAAATGTCTCAGCTTCAAAAGACATATGTGTTGCATCCATTTCTTCAAAAATTAACTCTGGTCTTTTAGATACGTTAGCTAACTTCATTTGTTTTATAACGGTTTTGCTGATATCAATATTGGTAATTTGTCTAAAAATAAAAATGATTATGTTAAAAAGTGGTAACATTTATTGATTAATAAGTGACATTATTTGCAGTATACCTATATCCAACATCATAAAGGTCTTCGCCTAATTTAGAATTTCCACATCCTACAACTAAAATATTATCTTTAGGCTTCATATATTTATGAAGGTAAACACAAAGTTCTGGATATTCCCCATACCTATGATACAGTGAGGTAGATTAACATACATAAAAACCTCTAAATATAATATTATTAAATCAGTTTTACCATTCAAATGATCTAGTTCCCCTTTGTTTGAAGAAGGCGTCCCAGTATTCAGCCTTACTAAATTCAAAAGCACTTTTAGGAAGTAGAGAAGTCATCACAACAAATAATAAAATAAGTATTTCTGAGTTGTGAATTAAAATAAGTGAAAAGAGAGATTCAAAAGTGGCATGTTCTAGAGGAAGGTTACACACTAGTTTGTTTACAAGTAGAAACTTTTTTTGCCAAAATTCGCAAATGAAGTGAGATTTTTAATATGAAAGATGTAAAATTTGTTCTAATTGTTTTAAATAAAGAAAAATGTCGGCTCTTTCCTATAGTGGTTGTGAAAGACTTATTGCTACAAAATATACATGTTTGTTCACTTTGGATTTGTGAGAGGGGACTTTTAGGCAGAAGTTCCTTCCGCAGGGCTTACATCTAAGAAGTGATGGCGAGTGAACTCAGCTGTGGAGTAAACTACCGTCTCCAAAAGCAGAGTTAGCTTGCTTATAGGGAAAGGGTAGGATGTATTCTATAGCCATGGTGTAGGCAACTACCTAGGGGAGGGCACCCCAAAATCAAAGCCACCAGTTCTCCTGATAGGTGTTAGAGCATGTGGCCAATCCTCCCAATTTAAAATATGATATAAAATAAGATATTAAGGAAACGACTGAAACGAGGAAAGAAAAAATCTAAAAGATATAACAATGGATGCATGGAACGTCAGGACTATACAGCCTTGAAAAATGAAAGAAGTGACACAGATCACTTCCTTGTAAAATCTTCCTTCGAATATAAAATATCCCTGCGACCTAGAACAATGGTTGAAAAGCTACAGAGCTTTAATGTGAGGAAACTGAAGGAAGAGGAATGTAGTAAAAGATTTGCACAGAAAGTAACTGACAGACTAATAGATGCTTCTAACCAATTAAATAGCAATGATATTGACATCAGGTGGAATGCTATCAAAACTAGCTTGGGAAAAGCAGCAGATGAAGTATTAGGAAAGAGAAATAAAGATAATAAGCGTGGTTGGTTTGATGTGGAATGCCATCAAGCCCTGACAGCAAAGAAAGAAGCGCGAATGAAAATGCTACAAAGACGGACTAGAATAAGCCGAGATGGGTACTCTGCTAGGAGGAGGAATGCCAAAGAAATTTCCGTCAGAAAAAAATAACGTGGCTAAATATGCAGTTAGAGGAGCTCCAGAATGATCACAGCTCAAAGAACACATGGAAGTTTTATAAAGGCATTAAGGAAATAAAAAGAGGCTTCCAATCAAATATCTCATACTGTAAGATAAAAGAAGGGGCCATAATAGGTGAGCCTGCTAAAATATTGCAGAGATGGTCTGAATATTTCAGGGGAATTCTTGTAGAATCCAAGCACCAAGATGGGGAAGAAAGAATCAAGCTGTTGAAATGCCGACTGGGTTTACTCGGAGAAGGAGATGAGGAAGTAGAGCCGCCTGAACAGGAAGAAGTTGAAGAAATTATTGGCGAATTAAGGAACAATAAGATTTCTGGTATTGATGGCATTCATTTAGAAATGATGAAAATGGAGGGGATGATTTAAAAAGATATATATTCCAATTGGTGTGGGATGTTTGGTTTGAAGAGAGAATGCCTGAAGAGTGGAAATTGGCAGCGATGTGACTCATTCATAAAAAAGGCGACAAACTGTCTTGTGGTAATTATCGAGGGATAGCACTACTAAATACAGCCTACAAGGTATTTTCTGTATTATTGAACCGACGGCTGATAAAGTTTTTCCGAACAGATAGTGGGCGACTATCAGTGTGGTTTTAGGCCTGGAAGATCAATCATCGGTCTAATATTCTCATTGAGACAAATTCTTGAAAGGGGATATGAATTTCACATCGACCTCCATAATTTGTTTATCGATTTTAAACAGACATACGACATTGTTGAAAGAGAAGAATTTCTGAAGATAATGCTTATATTGGGAATTCCCAGGAAGCTCACTAGGCTAGCAAAAACTACAATGCCCGATAGCAGAATGAAGATAAAAATACAGGGAATACTATTAGAAGAATTTGTAGTAAATAGTGGACAGAGGCATTGAGACCCACTATCACCTGTCCTTTTTAATTTAGCCCTGGAAAAAGTTATTAGGAAAATACGAACCAGCCCTAATGGAACAATTTGCCTGAATTCCTTCGATCATTTTTGCAGTTTGGTCACTTAACCCTGAAACATCCTGTATATGAAATCCCGAGAATGGTCGAGTGTCACCGAAAGTTGACTGAAATGACTTTCACTGAAAAAGATCCGTTGAAAGTTAGTTTAGACTTTTAAAACGAGTGAGAGTAGAAAGGAGCGATGGAAATAAAGGTAATTAATACCCAGATTTTTACTGAAAAGACCATCTGTGGGTTTGCTCAATTCGTGAACCGCGTTCTGAAGGGAAGTTATTCTGAGAACATGTCCAAGGCTATTACCGGAATCTCGTTTATAGGGTGATCATGGGATCTTGGCCGACTCGTCAAATTGGAGTGACACTTCTATAGTAGTACCAAATCTCTTTATGTATGTAGATAGAGCTCAGGGACTGGGATGATAAGTCTATTTGATCATATTGTCAAAGTATTGTATTAAATAATCAGAAGGCCCGTTTGCCGCTAGTCGAGTTGCTGTTTGATTTGTTTTTCGTTTCGTTTTCTCCAAACGAAACAAAAGCTCTTTCTGCTTTCCAACGAAACTATCAGTTCATCATGAAAATAACCCAACAGTTTTTTTTATGAGACATGTTTCATCTGTTAAGTTTGGGGATGCATTATTTATCCCTCATTATTAATCAAGGCTAGAAATAAATAAAAACTTTTATTATAGTTACTACATTACTAAATTAACTTAAGCATATTTGTAAGCAAAATTAATTTATGTTTTTAGGTGTATCTATCTATATTAGTGTCTTTCAGACCGAAAATAATTTTTATGATTAACATATTCACATAAATCAATTTAATTGTACAAATAAAATTAATTACTATTATGTTCTATAAAAATTGAAAAAGGCAAACAATTTAAAAATTGTTTAAACTACAGTTACAAGACTCATGATGACCAAACAGCATAATTTCAAACTTCGAACATACAAGAAAGTCAAAATATTATTAAAATAAAAAATGTTCGATGTGTAAAAAATAGTTTTCAGTTTTAATTAGTTAAAATGTGAATGTGATCTGTGAACACTATTATAAATGTCCTGAGACAGATTGTAATATTTTTCAATAAATGAGTTAAAAAAAAAAGATTAAACCAGTGAATGACTTAACGACATTAAAATTTATTAACAAAAAGTATTTAAAATGTATATAAATATTTCAATTTAAAATTTGAGTATTTTACAATACAATAATAAGAAATAAAAATAAAATTTTGAATACATTCAGTGAACGCGCAAGTGTGACGCTGCCACGTAGCGAGCGGGTGAACTATCTGTCCCTTTGGGTGTTAAGCATGTGGCGGACCACTAGCGGATCCAGGATTTAATTTTTGGGGGGAGGGCTTCAGCCAGAAAATATTTTTTTTCATAAAAATAACGATAATTACTTTGGAAAAACAGAAAGAAACTAAGTACCTATATGAAATGAAATGGTGTTTAAGTGATTCTTTAAGTCCTTTTAAATGTAATTACACGAACAATAATACTTTAAGAGGTATTTTAAAATTTTTCTTCCCACAAAATATGGTTATATTTTACCATTTTGGGGGCTTCATCCCGAAAGCCCCTCCGTAGATCCGTCATTGTGGCGCGCTGGAATAGGCCTCCACAATATGACATAAAATATTGTTTATTTGATCATATGATATCAAATGTTGTCGATTGATATCATTCATCAGACGATGGAGTTGCAAGGTTTTCATTACCTAATAAATACGGCCTATGTTATTTCGATGGTCTTAATGAGCTTATGTATAAATTTAATATAATATTACCCATACATATGAACGAAATTCACAAATATGCTATTTTAGGTTTAGCTTCAATATAAATGCATTTCAAAAACTTTTTGTCGTAGCCAAATTTTGCAGCACAATAATTTCTTTTCAAAGTAACGCGCTAAGTAAAAGTTGTTTGATTCATGTACCAGATTTCTTTAGTTATTTCTAGCTCAATTCTTGTTAAAGTATGGTGTTATGTATACGTAAACCACAGAAAATCGAATTTAAATACAATACGGAAAAATAATACCTTGGCCGATTATCACAGAAGTGATTGACATATGTGATAATCACAACAGATCAATTGCAATCAAAGATCAAATTAGCTAAATTTACAATGTTTCACTTTTTGCTTCCTCCCAACACAACTTGGGTCGTAATCCTACTATGGACACTTCTCGATCTGAAAATCAAAATCTGAGATGTTTCTCTAGGAACAATTATTGGCTTTTTAGCCAATAATGGCTGTAATTAAATCTAGAAATACTACAAAAAGAACAAATACAGTTTTTTTCGTTAGAGCCATTTTTGAGAAAATCGAAAAATTTGTTAAACCGATTATATAAAGTACCACTTCCGGTCTGCTGATTTTAGCGAAATTGTTGTTTTTTGTTTTTCAACTAGACTGATAACATACATACACACATAGCGACACGGGTGGATCTACGGGGGGGGGGAGGGGCTTTCGGGCTGAAGCCCCCCCAAAATGGTAAAATATAACCATGTTTTGTGAAAAAAAATTTTAAAAATACTTCTTAAAGTATTATTGTTCGTGTAATCAGATTTAAAAGGACTTAAGAAATCACTTAAACACCATTCATATAGGTAGTTAGTTTCTTTCTGTTTTTTCAAAGTAATTATCGTTATTTTTATGAAAAAAACCCTTTCGGGCTGAGGTCCCCCCCCCAAATTAAATCCTGGATCCGCTAGTGCATAGCGACCATTTTGCGGGAGTTGGTTATTTGGACTTAAGAGACATCAAAACAAGTATTTCCGTTGCAAATTCAGACTCGAATATTTTCTCGTTCGCAATACTTACCCTTACTATATACTACATATATAGATAAGTGAAAGTAATACCCTTACTATATATTGCAAAAATAAGTAAGTGAAAGTAAAACCTTTACCATATATCGCATATTTATTTAAGTGAAAGTAATATCATTACTATATATTGCAAATATTGGTAAGTGAAAGTAATACCCTTACTATATATTGCATATTGGAGTAGCTAATTTAAAGCATATTTTGGACAGACATTCCAATGGTTTGAAAAAAGGCTTAAACAGCATAAACAAAATTGTAATTCAAAAAACACAAAAATTAAATTAGCTACTGGACTCTCTCAACATAATAT